CAGTCAGTAAGACAAAACGACCACCCACAGAATGGGAAAAGATCTGCACTGATCCCACATCGACAGAGAGATGATTTCCAAAACATATAAGGAGCTCAAGAAGTTAGCCACCAAAACACCAAACAATGAAATTAAAAAGTGGGGTGCAGAACTAAATAGAGAATTCTCAACAGAGGAATCTGAAATGGATGAAAGATAATTAAGAAAGTGCTCAAAATCATTGGCTGTCAGAGAAATGCAACTCAAAACAACTCTGAGATACCACCTCACACCTGTCAGAACGGCTAAAATCAAAAATACCAATGACAATCTATGCTGGAGAGGATGTGGAGAAAAAGGAACACTCCTCCATTGCTGGTGGGAGATCGAACTTGTAAGACCACTCTGAAAATCAGTATGGTGGTTGCTCACAAAAATGGGATTCAGTCTATCTCAGGATCCAGCCATTCCTCTCTTGGATATACCCAAATAGTGCATGTTCATACAACAAGGACATATGTTCAACCATGTTCATAGCAGCATTGTTTGTAATAGCCAGACCCCAGAAGCAACCTAGATGCCCCTCAACTGAAGAATGGATAGAGAAAATGTGGTACATTTATACAATGGAGTACTACTCAGCAGAAAAAAAGCAATGGAATCTTGAAGTTAGCAGGCAAATGGATGAAACTAGAAGAAAGCATCCTGAGTGAGGTAACCCAGTCACAAAAAGACAAACGTGGTATGTACTCACTCATATATGCATATATGAATTTTAGACATAGAGCAAAGATTTACCAGCCTATAATCCTCTTCACCAAAGAAACTAGGAAACATGAAGGACTCTAAGGGAAAAATAGACCCCAGGAATGGGAAGTGGCAGGAACTCCGGACATAATTGGGAGCGGGAGGGTAGGGGATGGGGTCCTGCCACAATAAGAGGAGTAGAGGAGAGAAAATGGAGGAGCAGAGATATTGAGTAGGGGGAAGAAAGAGGAGAACAAGCAGGATGAGAGATACCATATTAGAGGGAGCCACTATAGTTCCGAGAAGAGATCTAACTAGGGAGATCTCCAGAGACCTACAAAGATGACAGGATCTGACAATCCAGGCAGTGGTGGAGAGGATAACCTAAAAGCCCTTCCCCTAAAATGAGATTGATGACTACTCTTTATGCCATCCTAGAGCCCTCATCCAGTGGCTGATGGAAGCAGAGACAGACATCCACAGATATACACTGAGCCGAAATTGGGAATTTAGTTGAAGAGAGGGAGGAATGAAGAACGAAGGGGTCTGTACCAGGTTGGAGAAACCCACAGAAATAATTGGCCTGAACAAGGGAGAGCACATCGACCCCAGATGCTGTCTGGGAGGTCAGTACAAGACTGATCCCTGAACATGGATGTCAATAAGAAGGCCTCTGCACTCCAGAGA